AGAGGCACTCTTGCTCATCATAACTATGTACTTACTTACTTTATTTAATACCCAGGAGCACAGAAGAAGATTTTCAAAGAATTAATGCATTTTCACTATATAATCAATAGAGCCCCGCCCTAACACCAGAACCCCTGACCCTGGGGCCATGAATTTTACAATTTTGGAAGAGACACTCTTGCTCTTCATAACTATGTACTTAGTTACTTTATTTAATACCCAGGAGCAGAGAAGAAGATTTTCAAAGAAATAATGCACTTTCACTATATGATCTATATAGCCCCACCCTGCGGCCATGAATTTCACAATTTTGGTAGAGGGCTCAATGCTTATTACAATGATGCCAACAGTTTGACTGCTTGATGTCCAGGAGTAAAGAAGAAGATTTTTAAAGATTGCATTATTTTTGGTGGTTTTAGCCCCACCCCTCAGGCCCCAGGGGGGCAGAGACCATGAAATTCACAATTTTTGTTCCCCTTCACCGTTAGATGCTGTATACCAGATTTGGTTGAAATTGGTTGAGCGGTTTCAGAGAAGAAGCTAAAAATTTTCAAATGTTAACACACGACGCACGCCGACGGACGAGAACGGATAGCAATAGGTCACCTGAGTGACTCAGGTGACCTAAAAATTAGCAATTACAAATACATGTGCATAGAGAACTTGTGCTAATTTAACGGAGACCGGTACAGGTATTCCCCAAACCCCTCTCTCCCCCCTCTCTCTCTCTCTGTTTTGGTGCTACATTCCTATATGGTCAAATCTGGCAAAATCTTTGTATAATGAACTAAAACAGTTTGCACCTATTTTATAGATATTTCACATTTATGTCGGTGATATCATTCGTACTATTTCATTTGCTCAAGACAATTTTGTATAATAGCTTTAAACATGTATATTGACTTTAACTTTGTAAACGCATGAATGTTATAGTGAATTATAATTAAATCAGTTATGTTAATTTTAATCAAGTTTTTGTCATAGTAATTCAAAATATCACAGTTTTCGCAAATTTTTTTCTCATAATCAAAGGATTGCACAATGAAATTCAAGTTGCTGCATTCATTTATTCAAATTCTTTTAAAGGAATTTTTCATTATTTAAATGCAAAATAAATTCTATTATTCCATTTTTTTCAACAAAATCACTGATTTGGTGTTTGGGATTTGTTATTGATTATAAACTTAAAATAGGTTAAAGTTTAAGGTTTCCTAGTAAATCAAAGTATCACAAAAACATCAAAGTTCATAAAAAATCTAAGTATCAGAGTAAAGTGCCAAAATATCATAGGAAATCAGAGGATCAAAATAAAGTGTCGAAGTGTTATAGTAAATCAAAGCATCAGTGTGACAAAGTGTCATAGTAAATCAAAATATTCAATTTGCGAGCAAAGTTTCAAAGCGTCAAAGACTTCTTACTGTTAAGACAATCCTCGGAATTAATTTTTTTAATAAACCACTAACAGAGAATTTAATGTGCAAATTTTAATGCTTGTCATGAATTATCAACCAAAATATTTATTGTTGTTCCTTTCTTACGTTGATATTTTTCCTTCTTTCCAAACATTAGATATTATTTACTGGAAAGAAAAAAACATTATTTAAATCGTTACATCATCTTGAATTTTATTTTTCCATCTAATTGATGTCAAACTTTCTTTGATGGCCCATTTGCTAATCTTAAATCGAATAGATAGTTATGGCTTGGAGAAAAAATTTAATGACAAACAACCAAACATATCAAAGACCACTATAAACTCAATTTGTTATAACTCTAAATTACAGTACAGAAAAAACTGAATAACGTTATTTGTTTTATTCATTCATGTAAAAATTCTCAGTATGCCAAAATACATGTATCCAGCGCATTCTTTATATTTCACAGCGTCAACCATCCTCACAAAGTCAATGTTCCGGAGTCCACTCCTGGCGTGGGTCACTCAGCTGACTGCAGTGATGTCTTTTGGGGAAATAGAAAACCATGATAGCTTTTCTTATCTCTCGACCAATCACATTAAGCATTTTTGAGATAAACAACCTATTACTCGTGCATTGGTCTGTCAACTGTTTGTTTACTTTCTTTTTACTTTTCATGTCAACTTACGAAAGCTTAAATTTTATTTGCGCTTTTTATCTCACCTGAGCTGAAAGCTCAAGTGTCTAGCGTCCGTCTGCCCGTCTTTCCGTCTGTAAACTTTTCACTTTTTTGACTTCTTCTCAAGAACCACTGGTCCAATTCGACTAAACTTACCATAAAGCATGCTTGGGTAAAAGGAATTCAAGTTTGTTCAAATGAAGGACCGCGCTCTCTTTCAAGGAGAGAAAATTAAGAATAGGTGAAAATTTGGTGTCATCATTCAAAAATCTTTTTCTAAAGAACCATTGAGTCAGAAAAGTTGAAACTTAAGTTAAACCTTCATTACATAGTGTAGATTCAAGCTTGTTCAAATCATGACCCCTGGGGGCAGGGTGGGGCCGCAATGGGGGATCAAAGTTTTACATAGGGATATAGTGTGGAAATCTTTAAAAATCTTCAACTAAAGAACAACAAAACCACAGTTATATTCAGTATGTTCAAATCAACCCCCAGGGGTAGGGTGGAGCCACAATGGGGAATCAAAGTTTTACATAGGAATATATAGGAAAAATCTTTAAAAATCCTCTCAAGAACAACAAAGCCACAATTAGTCATATTGACATGGAAGCATCCTCAGGTAATGTAGATTCACATATGTTCAAATCATGACTCCTGGAGGTATGGTGGGGCCACAATGGGGGATCAAAGTTTTACATAAGAATGTATAGGAAAAATCTGTTAAAAACTTCTTCTAACAACAACAAAGCCACAATTAGTTACTGTATATTGATATAGAAGCAACCTCAGGTTGTGTAAATTACAATTTGTTCAAATCATGACCCCTAGTTGTAGGACGGGGCCACTATGGGGATCAAAGTTTTACATAGGAATACATAGGAAAAATCTTCAAAAATCTTTTCAAGAACAACAAAGCCATGATTAGTAAATATTGATATGGAAGCATCCCCAAGTATTGTAGATGAAAGTTATTCAAGTCATCCTCCAGTAGTAGGACGGGGCCATAATGGGGTATCAAAGTTTTACAATTGAACATATATAGGAAATATCTTCTCAACAACAAAGCCTTGATTAGTCATATTGATAAGGAAGCATCCCCAGGTAGTGTACATTCAAGTTTGTTCAAATCATGAACTCCCCCCCCCCCCCCCCCGAGTAGTGTGGCAGACATCTTTAAAATTCTGTTTTCAAGAACAGCAAAGCCATGATTAGTCATATGAATATAGAAGCCTCGTCAGATAGTTTAGATTCAAATTCATTCAAAACATGACACCTGGGGGTAATGTGTGGCTAAAACAGGCGATCAAAGCTTTACATATGAATATATGAAGAACAGCTGATGAAGAACAGCAGGGCCATGTTGACTCGGGTGAGCGTTTTGGCCCATGGGCCTCTTGTCAATGAGAGAAGATGACCCAAAAAAACAAATGAGGTTTGGCAGCGTCCAAGGGTCACTGGACTCATAACCCCTGACGTTCTGAGAATGTTTTATCTAAATTACATGTTTTTAGTTTGCTACCGAGGGAATCTACATTGGGATAGGCAATAATTAACAGATCAAAAAATAAAAAAATAAAATAAAGGCATGACAATAAAATTGGTCAATGTCTTTGAGTATATTTGTTAATTAAAACAAAATGTGAAACAAAACAAAGTATAATAGAAACCATAACCTCATGCAAAGTGCTACTGCTAAAAATTAAAAGAACTTTCAAAATCAGATAGGAGTACTGAAGAAATATGCATGTATACTGGATTGAAAATATATTCTTGACAATATGCTGGTGAAAAATAAAAGGTCCATGGGCAGAAACGCCTATCGCTAATATCAATATAAATATACAAAACCTTTCATGCAACCACTTGTTTACAGCTCAGTTTTGCTTCTTTTCATATATCATAGGTATGGTATAACACCATGATATGACCGTTCGATTAATACAGATTAAAGTGTAAATTTTACCAATAAATGTGTCAAATTCACAGAATAAAGTGTAAATTTTACCAATAAATGTGTCAAATTTACAGAATAAAGTGTAAATTTTACCAATAAATGTGTCAAATTTACAGAATAAAGTGTAGATTTTACAGATTAAAGTTTAAATTTTACCAATAAATGTGTCAAATGCCAACCATGGAATAGATGCTGTGAACATTAGTAACATTTCTGTTCGTAAAAAGTTTCAGTCTTGCGTTCCAACATATTATAAATTGTAGTCTACACCCTGCATTTCCTACATAGCGGTATATATTCCCAAACTGTTGCTTCCGAACTTCATTTATAAACAAACCTTACAATTCCAGGATATTGAACATTTCAAACAAAATCCTCTTGAGTTTTCTTGCTCTTCTTCTTCTTTCAACCTCAGTCCCGCTGGGCACGTCATTACTTGTGATGTTAATGTAGTTAAAAATGAAGACATGAAAGCAATCATCTTAAAAGGTCTTAAATACAGGGAGCCCCGATCTTTCAATTGAAGACAGAACTTCATTTCTGTTATGAATTCTAAGATTATGCCAGACTTTGGGCTAAATACGGAAGGGGCGACCTGAACACTTAGTCAGAATGGATTTATTTGTTATGGTTTCAGCAGACATGGCTTGTAACAATACCGTCTTTGCTTATTAGGCTCATTATTATAACTGTTGTTTAGAATAATTAAGTTTTAATTCTAGAAATTCATCTTTTTCTCACAGCTCATTTTCTAAAGATGAAATTCTTCCAAATCACATTTCAATGTTTAATACTTTTCATATTTTAATTAACCAAATGGAGTTCGATTTACCCTACCAATACAGGATTCCTAAACTTCAAAAAAAATCCTCACAAACATAAATTTCCGCGTCGATCAAATGCTCTACCAAGCCCCTATCTTTACTCCTTACAAACATAAAAGCTGCTGTAAATGAGAAACTTTAGACACACTGTGCTACAGTGCATTCTAGACTTAGGACGCACTGTGCTACAGCTCATTCTAGACTTAGGTCGCACTGTGCTACAGCTCATTCTAGACTTAGGTCGCACTGTGCTACAGCTCATTCTAGACTTAGGACGCACTGTGCTACAGCTCATTCTAGACTTAGGACGCACTGTGCTACAGCTCATTCTAGAAGTGGTGTAAATCACATGTGGATTCTCCAAAAAAAAGACCTTCAAGAAAATTTATAATCACATTTTTCCCCAAAAGTCAATAACATCAAATTGTACGACTTTTCTACATTTATACAACCATTCCGCACGATAAATTAAAAATAAGGCTTTTTGATATCAAAGACAATTGCTTCTTCAATAAAAATGGAAGTCGAAAATTTTGTTTCTTTTAATTGGTCAACAAAATTACTTTGATAAAAATCACTACTGATTCTACACACAAGTACTCTTAAAGTTGATATTAAAAGGATGCCGGAGTTCCTAATTGACAACATTTATGTACATGGAGTCTTCGGAGACCAGGTCTTCCAACAAATTGTTGGAATTTCGAAGGGCACTAATTGTGCTCCTTTATTAGCCGACCTGTTTTTACATACCTACGAAGCAGAATTTACTCAAAAACTTCTATATGACAAGAAAAGACACGGTGTGGCCATCAACTCGACAATTAGCTATATCGACGACGTTTTATAATTAACTAAAGTTATTCCATTCATATATCGACTCAATATATCCCAGTGACTTTGAAATAAAAGACACCATAGAGTCTGCCACATCTGTTTCATATTTGGTATTGTTTTACTGACTATTGACGATAGGGGCCAACTAATAAATAAATTGTATCACAAACACAATCGTCAATTATCATCATTTATGTAGTAATATTATGCTATTACATGCATATAGTGTTTATTCATACTAGATCAGGAGCATGCTCTGAGTACGATCAATTTTTATTCATGCCGAGGCAGGCTACTGACAGATAAGTTGATGTTACAAGGATTTCAAAGTCAACATTTCGTAAATTCTATGGTTGTTATAATGACCTTGTTACCAAATATATAACCTATCATTGGGTCGAATTTTGACGGACGTGTTTTACATACATATAGGGCTCGCGACGGATGTGACCTATGAACAGGGGATGCTTACTCCTCCTACGCACCGGATCCCACCTCTAGAATTTCCGGGGGTCCGTGTTTTATGCCCTGTTCACAGATTAGTATTGTTTGTAGATTTTTTGAGATCGATCACTGATTGTTATCTTCAGATTTTGCATTAATTACTTCGTAGAACCAAAACTCTTATAAAGATGTTATTCTTCTTATCGGAACCTAATATGGACCGGTAAAATTCAAGGAAGTGTTTAATACATCTTGAGCAAATCGCGAACTTTTATTCATTAACATTGACATAATATGCATGTAAATTCAATTTACAACTTATGTTATTCAGTGAAATGCAAAAAATGTTGAGGTTAGGTTCCGTAAGTGTTCTATTTATTTTCATTGAATATTCAGTTTTTCCAAAGCCAATTATTCAAAAGGATTTGAAACATTTTTTTTTTTCATTTTAGTTAATTGTCTCCATGTAATTTGTATCATTTTTTCCACGTATACAAGAGAAGACACTCAATCAAGGTTTAGTTCTAATCATTCTTCAAATAACAATATGATGGTATAAGTGAAAAATATGTTATGGGTAGTTGAATTTTCTTAAAAAAAATTCAATGTGGTGGTCATTATTTGTTATTATTAGTCGTAAGAAAAGAGCAAGAAAGAGTGTAAGAAGGATATTTATGGTCTCAATTTTTGAACTGCTCTCACTACTGTACCATTCATTCATAAATTCATACTCTTGGGGGCATCACTCAATACTTCGTTCATTTGGAGTTCATAAATGGGGAATTTTTGTCCCTAAGATTACTTTGTGTGGTGTACATTTTGTCTAGATGCGTAGGTCATATAGTTGGTACATTGCATTATGCCATATTATATGCACAACTAGGATCAGCTCAGAGTATTTGTCTGGTACCAGCTGGGATTAGCCCCAGGCAGTGCTAGTAATATATCGCATACTTCTGGGATCAACTCAGAGTCTTGTGGTCTGCTAAGATCAGCCCCAGGCATTATGCTCTCTGGGATCAGCCCGGAGAGTTTGGTGTGTCTGTGCTTTTAGGGATCAGCCCTAGGTATTGGATCTTGATGCGTTAAGCCTCCTGAGATCAACCCGTTGGCTCGTCTTGTTTTGTCCCCTGCAGGGACTAAGAGTCTCTCTAAAATCGGATTTTTCCTGTACACCTGCAAACTTTCGTCATATGCATTGACAAAAAAGGTTTGCCAATCAACCCCTAACTAACACCTCCATAGGTTAATACACACGAGTCTATCCTCTATGTTTACATTTACACATTAGTAAACACACAGCGGGTAGGATCTTCCTTGTGTAGATCATTATCCGCAACAAAATAGCTGACCATTGTCAGAAGAAGAAGAGGTGTTAATACATGTGCTCTGAACTGTCAACTTTTGCCACATCAGTCACTTGGAGGTGTGATTATAGATTTAATCAAAATCTTCAATATTTGCCACAAAATAACGTCATACACATGTCGGTGACATTTTGTGTGAATTTTCAATGCAAAAGCTCATAGAGAACTAAGGAGTTAGGCAATATTTATCAGCAGGGTGCATGGGATGGGTGCCAATAAATCATGAATTGAAAAAGTCTTGGGTCACATACCTTACAGAATAAAAACAAATCCACATGCCCTATCCTCATTTTGTGTGAATAATATATACTGTAAATCACTTTTTATTCGCGAGAAATTTATTTTGTCGCAATTAAGCGAGACAGTGTGCTAACGAAAATTTCATTCTCGCGTATATTATTCCTAAAGATTAAATAGAGCAATAACCACAATTTTTGAAAATTTTGTCTCGCTAATAATGAGTCACGGACTATCTCGCAAAAATAAGGTGTCGTGAAAATTTAGTGATCTACAGTAATTATATATCCATAAAGATAAGATAAGATATATGCTACGCTTAATTACTAATTCAGGGCCCATATCATATGGGCACAAAGAGAACAAACGTATATATATATATATATATATATATATATATATATATATATATATATATATATATATATATATATATATATATATATATATATATATATATATATATATATATATATATATATATATATATATATATTTGAACATATTTTATTGTAATAATACATATAAAAGGATTGGATACAAGTTCTTTCAACTTAATAAATCCTCTCCTTGTTATACAAACAATGAATACAATATGATTGTCATAATAAATAATTTAATTTTAATTGTAACACGTCATTTGATTGAATAAAAGATTTCGTTTAAGGAGGTTGGATCCTGTCGTCAAAAGTAATGAGAATTTTTTATCAAGTATATTTTTAGAATCTACACACGTAGCTTAATTAAAAATGAAAACAAAAAATGGGAGTCAATGCGCTTCTTTTGGCGCTACAGGGCATTTAGTTTGACCTTTTTGCACTGTAAATATATCATACACATGATTCAATTTTTAAAGTTTTCCTTCCAATATTTTTTTATTCAAATAAATTATGGGAACAAACACAGCCTTATTTCATTTTGAATAGATACATTAAAATTTGTGACAACAAAAATTTTTTAAAATTACTTCGCATGTTTAATTATTTGACCTTTTTGCACTCAAAAATATCATTTTTCTGGCATTAAAAATTTTAACAAGCAATAAAATCATTTGAAAGTAATGACATTTTACTGAATTTAAGTAGAATGGTTAAAAATATCTTATATATTCAGAAAATAAAATAAAAAGTGGGGGCCTGTGATGTTAATTTTTAGATAATACTAAAATAGTGCTAATTTTAAGCAAAAGTTAGGGCTATTTTTTTCTGTATTTTCGCAATATATTTGCTATATTTATTAAATATGATGATAAAATTCATGATATTTTATTCAATATATAATTTAGGACCAGCATGAAACAGTTCACGGCACAGAATAACACTGTGTGCAGGCTGCATGGAAAAATAGGAATCCAAACTTAACATATTTCAAATACTTCGAAAGAGAAAAAATGATCATTTTCTTCTAAAAATCCATCCGCCACAAGATATAGTTCCTCTCTTAATGCTTTTGGTATGGAACTTAATCATGGAGTTTTAACTGAATATCGTTTAATTGGTATTGTAGAATTCAAATTTATTGTAAGAACTAAAACATTATGCAGAATTTTTTTAAATATAGGTTAAGACAAAAATCTGCTCAAAAGCTCAGGAGCAAACCTCGTTAAATCGTATAACATAAGTTGCCTACGTCACAATGAGTTACGTCAAAAACGTATTACTCCGCTTGACGTTACTTTTAAAATATGCTCAATTTGAAGCCATTTTTGGAGGAAAAATTGTCTTATTGTCCACACTGAATTAAATTATAAGGAATGAAACTTATTTTAACCTATGTTATACGATGTAACATAACTTGGGGCACTTTACGCTTTTTCATAAACCTCTTTGCGGTTTATAAAGCGTAAACTGCCCCAAGTTATGCTATATCGTATAACATAGGTTAAAATAAGCTTCATTCCCTAAATAAATTTGAGAAAAGGCCGGGTTATAAGCAAGATATACATCTTTAAACTTCCATGCTGAAGTAGAAGAGAAAAAACTGCAGTAGTGGAGCAAAAGTAGTGTAGAGACTGAAATGCGCATGAATTAAAAGCATTTATTATATAGTCTATTTATAGTCCCTATATAATCTATACAAACGCAAACAGTTCATAACACTACATATTCACTAGATTTGAAGCCGTATTCACCGGAGGGTCAGTGCGCGTGCAGCTGCATTGTGACGTCACAATCAACACCTTAAACAACGTTGTAAAAACGGTTTGCAACGGCCGGAGCCAGCTGTGAATCTAAGCAGGAAAAATGTTAGACAATTAACTTATCGCAGGATTACATATATTTTCTAAATATTTAGATGTCTTACACATAGCGAAAGGAAAACATGGAAGTTAAAACTTGTAATATGAAATTTCGCCTCGGTCAATATTGATATTTTTATGGTGAATAACAAACCATATTCACCACCGAAAGAGTACATAATTGTATATTATTTTCCTTACATTTTTCTTCTTTAGAGG